CTCTATCCTTATGAAATGTTACCTCCTTTCCCTTCCTTACTTTGCTCTAGCTTCCATGTATGAGGGGAAACATTCAACCCTTGATTTTCAAAGTCTGGCATATTTCCCTTAGTGTAAGGATTTTATTTTTTAACACTTTTTTATCCCCTGCCCTGTGTTGTTCTCTTGAGTGAAAGAAAGAAAGAAAGAAAGAAAGAAAGAAAGAAAGAAAGAAAGAAAGAAAGAAAGAAAGGGAAAAGAATGTGATATTTTGCTATTTTCCTGCCTCCTCTTTACATTTCATAAAATGTAGAATTCCAAGTATTGCAAATACCATTTGTAGCTCATTAATTTCTTCAATAGGTGAGAAAACAAATGTGGAGAGAGAGCAACTGTCAGTGGACAAAAACCAACCTGAATCTGCCAATTTAACACAAGCTCAGCCTCCTATCCTTGTTACTGCTCATGAGGATGGACACCTCCGCTTATGGACTATGGAGGTAATGGAGTTTAGCGTTTCCTGGAAATGGGAAAAATGGGAAAGATAAATAAAATAATTAAATAAATCTTAGTCTTCTTCCATATGGCATCCAACTCTAAAGTTTTTCATCCTTCTAGCCAACTGGATGTTTTTATAGCCTGCTATGATCATATTATTTGAACTTTACAATAAGCCAGTTTTGTAATTCAAGAGACCAAATCATCAAAACTATTAATATTTCACTCTTTCTTTTATTATTATAAAAAATAATTTTTATTCACCAAAAGATTTTAAACTATTGGAGTTGAGGGTGGGCATTTCAAATTAAGAGGGCAAATTAAGAGGCGTTAGGAAGACAACAGATTAACAAAGGATCTTTAGCAGTCTGGGGATCATGGTAGTGAATCCCTGAGAGAGACTAGGGAGTAAACCCATTGTGGTAATAAGGTTCTTTGCTTTAGGGAGACTCAGGAAGTAGCAAGAGTGTTATGTGACACATGGGGGATCCAACAACAGAACAGCATGGCTGCCTCCTAGATCAACTCCAAGTCT